CTCACGCCACTGGCAATGTGCTTCCACTTCCAAGAGACGGTTCCGCAGACTCTCCTGCTAATCTTGGGGTATGGGGTTGTGAAGCCGGAGCTTGGACCTCTGAATGGTTTCCTACTGGGGTGATGTTCCAACAGCAGCTACTCACTTTGGCTAGGAGGTTCATGTACAACTTCTGGACTGGGGAAAGTCTTTCCAAATCCAGGGAAAAGATTCTCAAAATGGCCTCTTGCTCCTGAGATGATGGGACTGTAGAAGGTTTCCAGTTAGAAAAAAAAGTGAGGATGCGGTTCTGTGGTGACTCCTATATGATTTTGTTTTGAATTTAAAAGGTTATGAATTTAAAAACTGCTATACAAGTCAGTCATTGGAGAATTTTTTAAGTATGTTTGGAATAATGAAGGTATATGAATCTATTTTTTAAAAAATAGGCTTTATTTTCTTAGATAAAACATAACAGGAAGGTACCAAGATTTTCCTTATGTCTCCTACCTGCCCCCAGGCTCCCTCCCCCACTGTCAGAACCCACTCCCACACCAAAGTGATAGATCTGTTCTGGTTGATGAACCCATGTGGACACCACCATTATCACTCTCTGTCTGTGGTTTAAATGAATGGTGTGGTTCATTCTGTGTTCTTGAACAAAGATATAATGATACATATCCACCTTTATCATAGCACAGAGAATAGTTCCACTGCCCTACAAATCCTCTGTGCTCTGCCTTCTTTTTTTTTTTTTTTAAAGATTTTATTTATTTGACAGAGATCACAAGTAGGCAGAGAGGCAGGCAGAGAGAAGGGGGAGGCAGGCTCCCTGCTGAGCAGAGAGCCCGATGCGGGACTTGATCCCAGGACCCTGGATCATGACCTGAGCTGAAGGCAGAGGCTCTAACCCACTGAGCCACCCAGGAGCCCCTCTGTGCTCTGCCTTCTTATCCATCCCCCCAATCCCTGGCAACCAATGGTCTTTTCATTGCTTCCATTGTTTTGCCTCTTCCAAATGTCACGTGGTTGGAATCCTAGAGTATGTCACCTTTTCACACGGCCTTCTCTCACGTAATAATATGCATTTGGGATTCCTCTGTGTCTTTTCATGGCCTAATAGCTCATTTCTCTTTGGCGCTGAATCCCGTTCCAGTGTCCGGATGTGCTCTTCTGATAGGAGTTTGTGATGCTGGGTTTACCCCTCCGGGACAAGGGATATCACACCCAACAGGGCGGACTTGAAGGACAGCCTGCTGGGTTGCTGACACTATAATGTCACTTGCTGCGGTGGTTTAGCAGACCTGGAAAACCTTCGCTGTGTTTTCCACCTTTAATTTTTGACTGGAACTTCTTTACTACCACCTATGGGAGCCAGGGGGATTGAGTGTTAGGAGGAAGAGAAGAACATGGAATTTCAATCAAGGAGGATATGTGTTGGGGTCCCTGTTCTGCCGTTTATGAACTATAGGATCTTGGGAAAATCACTCTACCTCCGCCTTTGAGCTGTGGTTTCTGCGTCCATAGAATGGAGACAGGGATCGCAACTCACAGGAAACTGGGCAGTTAAACCGTGTGTGTGATACTGGTTCATAATCTGTGTGGCACCTTTGTAAATGTTGATGTAATAATTGTCCCACACGAAGTGGCCGAGTCCCGAGTGTTCTCATTCTGGGCTTGCCTGGGCTCGGCCCAGCTTTCCCAGGGATGGGGACTACAGGACCGGTCATTGCATCGTGACACCCTGAAGGTTCTGGAGTGTGCTCACTTTCAGGGGTCACAACTGCTCTGTAACTCATGCATGAACCTTCCCACGCCTGCATAATCCCAGCCCCCAAAGTCACACACGTACCACTGGAAGTCTCGTAGGTTGACCTAAATAACAAGTGCCCCAAACTCCATCTGGACTGCCCCAAACTCTCTTCAAACTGCCCCAAACTAAAAATTTCCAGTTAATTCCACAGCTGGTTTCTAGACCGTGTCAATAAACTGTTTTCTCCTCAACCTTTGGAAGCACAGCAAGTTTTGGGTGAATGTGAGGAAGCTGTTATTTATAGAGACCCACAGGAATGCAAGACCTGCCGTGTTTCTCGTTAAGCCTCAGGCGGTACAGGTTCAACCATATCACTGATGTTCAGAGGTCTCATGTGCCCTTGAGTCACCCCTGACAGAGGTCATTGTTCCCTTATTAATGCTATTAATCTTTTCTCAAATCTTCCTATTGACAAGGAAATGCAGGAAGTCCATCTCAAGATGAAGGGAGACCTCTTAGATCACTTGTCACAGAAGTGGGTTGTTAATTTTGAGCCTCTCCGATTCTCACATAAAATGAGATCTGGATGCTCCAGTCTGAAGTAAACTCCATGAGGTCAGGAACCACATGTCTTATACTATTTTTGTGTCTTATATACCTTGTAGGACAGTGGTTGGAATAATTAGGCCCTGGAGAGGTATGAAAATGGTGTAGGAAATTAGAGAAGGGGAGGACTTTTCCCTAGACACTCAGTACTGCAGAAAAGGGGATCCTTTAGGCAGAGACTATGTAGACTTCAAGACTGTTGAGCCAGAATCAAGAAATACATACCAAAAGAAGACAAAAATGAAAACATGTTCAACCTCACTGATCGTCAGGTGCAAATCAAAACTTCAATGAACTATCACCTCACACCTGTTAGAATAGCTATCCTCAAAAACACGGAGAAAGCTTTGGTAGGATGTGGAGAAAAAGGGAACCCTTACGCGCTCTTGGTGGGTATGTGAATCGGTGCAACTGTTATAGAAAAAGTATGGAGGTTCCTCAGAAATTTAAAAAAATAGAATTGTCAGATGATCCAGCAGTCTCACTTCTGTGTATATATCCAAGAGAAATGAAGGCGAGATGTCAAAGAGGTTTTGCATTGCCATATTCACTGCAGTGTTATTCTCAGTAGCCAAGACACCTAAGTTTCTGTCAGTGGATGAATGGATAAAGAAAAGGTGGCATATATATAAACAATGGAATATTAGTCAACCATAAGAAAAGTGAAATCCTGCCCTTTGCAAGAATATGGGCCTTGAGGGCATTGTGCTAAGTGAAATAAGTCAGGTGGAGAAAGACAAATACCATCCAATCCTATTTGTATATAGAATATTAAAAAAGCCAAACTCATAGAAACAGTAGTATGGTCATTGCCAGAGGCTGTTGGGGGGCGTGGTGGGAGAAGATGACCAAAAAGGTCCAACCTCCCATTATAAGATGTTTAAGTTCTGGGGATCTAATGTACAACATGGCGGTTAGAGTTTACAATTCTGTATTATATATTTGAAAATTGTCAAGAGATCTTCAGTGTTTGCCTCACAAACAAAGGTGATTATGTGACAGGACGGAGGTGTTCACTAAAGCTACGGTAGTAATCATTCTACAATTTCAAGTCTATCCAATCAACACGTTGTAAACCTTAAACATAACCCAGTATTGTACATCAGTTGACTCTCAGTGAGACTGCAGGGGGAAAGGAAATGGATACCAATGGTGGCTTTGAAGTTTTGCAGTGGATTTGGGGGAAGGAAAGAAGTCTAGTGGAGAAAGAAGATGGAGAAAGATTGATGTCTTTAGACAAAGGAGTTTCTTTGACTCCATTAGAATTTGATTCAAATCATTTTTTGGAACTAGGAGTGGGTGTAAATGGTGAAAGAGTATACTTTAAGAAAGAAAATTGGAAACTCAGAATAAGGCATTTCTAAGATGTAGTCATAAAAACGACTAGATCTTTGGATAATAGATGTGTGTCAAAGGATTAAAGCTTTGTGGTCAAACAGGTTAAACGAAGTTAATATGTATAATATAATTAATATATTGCCATTTCTCAAAATGCTTTAATCATGGAACCCTCTTTGTTAAGAACACTTATGAAGTCTTTCAAGGCTTATGGTTTAGGAAATGTACTCTCAAGTAAGCTGTACCACTTGGAGAGTCCTAAAAAGGTTGTATTTAGAATATCCTCCCAATTACAGCTTCATTTTTGAGCACTCATTAAGTGCCAGGCAGTGCTCTAAGTATATAATACACATTATTTTATTGTTTCCTCAAAGCAAACCAGTTAGGTATGTATACTTCTTACCCTTGTTTTAAAGATAAGGAAATTAAGTTTCAGGGAAATGAAGTATCTAGAAATGACTGAGTTGTTATCTGATCCCAGTTGTTCTGGCTCCTAAAATCTATGCTAATAATCACTGTAATCTATGGCCACAGCAAAAATAGGACAAAACAAAACAATTAAAAATCCTTCCTTATTTTTTTCTGTCCTGTGATTATTTCAGGGTTGTAAACTGGTTGTTTCATTTTGCCTGCCACAGTGTTTTAAAATAACTAGAATTTGAATACCTTTGAGCAGTGTATAGACGTACTGGTTCTACACTGGAGACTCTCTTTCATTATTTTCTTCTCAATCTGATGGAAACAATTAGTTTCCTGCTTATAGGCATTTGAATTTTCTGTTGTTCCAGCTCACTATGGCTGGCTCAGAAAAGAAGGAATGGGGCTTATGTTTGGGACTGAGTGACTGTCATATTCGTAGGAGACAAGAGAAATCTGGGACCTCCTCAATTTCAGAAAATGAGGTAGAAAAAAGATTTAGGCTCTTTACTCGACCACCTTATCATAACTTTTCCCTTAACATATAAATCCTTTTAAAAGCATTCTGGATATAGACATTTAATGTCTGCTCCAGTGCTTTCAATCACTGGGAAATAACTTTTTGTATATACACTTAGTACATGTAAAACTGGGAACATTTTCTCCCTTTACCTAAAAATTCTGCCTAGTGGTTCTGCCCCATGGAGGAACATAGAACAAATAATTATCTTTGCTATAATATCCATTCAGTTAGCTAGTCTTCTGAACATATGGGTTCCTTCAGTGGTTTTCCATTAGTAAGCATTTCCACCTCCTTTCCTTGGTTTTATCTCACCGTAGTGGATGACCAGTAGCTTGACCACGTGTATACAGAATTTGAGTTGCACACATCACTCGGGTTGTGACTTGGTTAGTGCAGACAACGTTTTAGGATGATCTGGGCACCACGCTTCTGATGACACAGGCCCAGATTACCTTGGATTGGCTGTTTCAGTGGCTCTGTCCTTTGACTGATTCACTCAAGTTCATGGTCAACCAAAGGCTGAGATCTGTTCCACACAGAGTCAAGCCAAGCCTCTTGATTTGGGAAAACTGTCTTGACTCTATCATAGCTAATTTAGAAATGAGTGTTTTGACTGAGCACAGTGTATGGGGTTCTCTGTGAGATGGAGTACTGTGAAATTTGTGTAATTACAAGATCACTTCATTAGTAAGTATGTACTGAGAAAGATGTAGTTTTGCTTTTCAAGAACTATCCAGCTGGGAAGAAAAGGCCAAGTAATTAGGAAGCAGTTAATGAAGGATGTGAGAAAATATTTAAATGATGTATTGTACTGAGTGAATCAGAAGTCTCGATCAGAGAAAGTTGGGGCAACAATGGTGGGAAAAACAAAAGAAGGTCTCATGAAGGAAATGAGACCCAGGCTGGTGCTTGAACAGTGGTTTGGATTGGACTGGTACAGACTGGAGGGGTGGATATTGCTGTTGTGTGTGTGTGGGGGGGTTGGTGTGAGTGAGAGCACAGGAGACAATGCCTACTGCCTCCAACATGGTAGAGGGGCATGGTAGAGGCACAGGGTGAGTGAGGGATAGTGGAATGTTGGAATGTGGAATGTTGGTGAGGCCAGTTAGAGGTGGTGTTGATATCCAGACAAAGGAATTTTGTCTTGAAATTGTGGATCTTCAGGAAGGTAGGACATGGCAGAAGTGCTGTGGAAAGAAGCCGATTCTGGAGATGGTATTCAGGATGGAGGGGCTAGATCCTGGAGGCCGGGAGCATAGGTCCAAGGCTGTAAATACGGAAGTAACGACTGCCTGCCTTGAGGAACCATTTTAAAGAGAAAAGGCAGGATTTATTTGACTGCATGGAAGTGAGGAAGGAAGCTTTGTTAAACATGATTTTGTAGTTTCACACCTGGTTGATTGGATAACAGAGATTACATGGTCAAAGCCAAAGAAAGTTAGGGTCTGGATGAAGGAGAGTGATTTTGTTTGGGGCAGACTGGGTGGTGGGGTGGGTTTGCGGGAGCATTCAAATGATACGGTCCAGTCAACCACTGGGGATAGGGCGTGGGTGAACTGTGGAGGGACAGACTGTTCACCTGAGAATAACTGGGAATATCGTGCTCTTCCCTTATTACGATGTGCCACTGGAACCGTGTTGCTTAGGTCTAAATGAACAGGCAGGTGTGTGTGGGCTACCCAGGTTAAGTCGAGGTGCTTCAGAGTCAGATCTGGATCCCAACCCAGCTGTGTGACCTGGGCAGTCACTGCAGCATCTCTGAGCCTTAGGACAGTCATCTGTAAAAGAAGGAATGACAGTGTGGGCTTCGTGAAGGCATTGGGAAGATACCAAGCCAAAATTGGGTGCAGTTGCATTTACAAAGATGTGTAGAGTGGTGTGTAAGGCTCCAGGTATCACAGGTGTGGTCACTGTTGCTGTTGTGATGATCGTTGTCGTGCCCCGTAGAGTACTCACCGGTGGGTTCAGGACTCTCAGGAAATGGTGCTTAGGGACTCCAGAGACTGATTGGAGTATGGGGGTACTCCCTGATGACTTCTCATCACCCTGGAGCTGCTGGGCTGGGAGCCTTCTCCTCTTTGTGAGAGTCTGGTTGGAGAAAGACACCCACTTGGAGGGATCTAGAGTATTTCTTTAAGCAGCCTCCAAAGCCCGTAGACCTGCTTACCTTTCCACTTAGCGCAGCTCCAGTCCCTGCCACTGCCCTACCAGCCCCTCCTCCCCCAACACCTGCTTCTGGGCTCTGACATCTGAGGATGACAATAAACTCAGAGGGACCACAAGCACTGGCCAGAGCACATGGCATTTAGGGACCTTCCTCAGATACTCCAGGTCCTGGACAGACATGGACAGATAGCCCTCCTGCGTCTGGTCTCAGGATGCATTTTAAGTGCTTGTAGGTCACTTGGCCTTGGCCACAAGACCGCAGTGGCCATAACAGCCCAGCTGTTTACGTGTGGCTGTGTCCTCCACAAGCCAGGGCTGGGCCAGGCTGCGTGTGGGGACAGAAGTGAGGGCAGCCAAGCCTGTCAAGATGCAGAGAACTCTGGGAAACCGGGACGCGTGGCAGCTTTTGGAGGAGCTAGACTCCTTACCTCAGGGCTTGGGAAGCTGTTTGTCCTTAGATCATTCTTTTCCTAGTAAGGTAGGAGGTGTCAGATCTGATGATGGAACACGCCAGAACCGAGAAGAAGGTCTTCGCACATGTGAACTTCTGTGCCCGCTTCTTAGGGAAATGACCCTTGTCTGATTCACTTGCTACCTGGTGTCCGTTTGTGTGTGCAGCTCGTTAACTGAAGGGCAAAACAGCCGCGGTTCCCCTCCTCTGCTCACATGACTCAGGTCACAAAGGCGCTGGCCTCTAGTCAGCAGCCCCCCAGGATCCCCACAGCTTCGGTGGTCCTGATGCTCCCCATTTGGCGTCTGGTAAGCGTCGACTCGGTGAGTTGATGCTGGATTTTGGGTATGGTCTGGAAATGCAGATTTGCATAGGTAAGCATCTTGTAAAATATTTTCTCCTGAAAGCATTCATCAAAGAGAAATACGCAGGCCCAAAGGCGGAAGGAAGCTGGGGGAGGGAGCAGGGGAGGAGGTGAGAAGGGAGGAGCTGCCCAGATGCTTTTCAGCGGCCCAGGCTGGCTGCGGAGCAGGAGCAGCGCCTCTCCTGTGGGAGGGCGGCTCTGCAGGCTGCGCACGGATCTGAGAGATTTATGCCCCGCGTGCCGAGCACACATCCACGACTCTCCAAGGCACGATTTTGCAAAGGTGGTTATGGGGTTGACATGAAAGAGTATTTTATATGAAATTGCTGAAAGATCTCTGGGTACTAAGCAATAATCACTTTAATGCTTTAGAAAGTGTTCCAATTTGTTTCCCCTCCGCTTCTTGGCGGCTGGGATTTGCGTGCCCCTTAACAGCCAGTCCTGGGCATCCTGCGTGCCCCCCGGGGCGAAGCACCGCGGCCCCTGAAAGGAGAATGCGCTGCGGTCTGGGCATCCGTCTCAGCAGCTTTCAAAAAACGTGCACAGACTTGGCCTCTCTAATTCTACCTCTTGGAACGTTTTAAAGAAGAAAAGTTAGAAAAAGGATGTTCATCGAATAAATGCATGTTCAAAGATCTTTATCATGGTGTGGTGGTTTTTTTTTTTTATCTATACCCTTCCAAAATTAATGCAAATGTATGAGTCCACCCACTGTAACAGAGGGAAGTTGGGAACACCGAGTGTGCCAAGATAGGGGATTTGATGTTTTTAAAAGTACTGTAGAATATCATGTATTACTAAGTTCAAAAAATGAGTTGCAGGGCAGCATATATTTCTATTTTTATAAAAATGCCTGTACACACACACACACACACACACACACACACACACACCATTTTAGAATGGATTCTAGAAGGGCATATAGAATATGCAAAAATGCTTATCTCTAGATTGTAAGGATATAGGTGGCTCTGCTTTTTAAGACAATGGCCTGTCTCGATTTTCTGTAGTAAACATAGATGGTGTTGAAGAAGGCAGGGGTGCTCCCTTAGTGAAGGATTCCCTCGTCTTCCCCAGTCCATGGACTACTATGCCTCCCCGCGAGCCCTTTGGTCTCATGTGACCTTCATGGTGTGTCACGCAGAAAGAGTTCTGTTGTCCCCTGGTGTCCAGTGTGCAGCCTCTCGCAACTGGATGGACCTGGGAAAAGTAAGCCTAGGCTGCAGGGAGGGGACAGGCAGCTCCTCGACTGTTCTCGTCTGTGCCAAGGAAAGGAGGCTTTGGTTCATTGACCGCTTTCGTCCGCTGAGATTGGACTACTTTATTAGCATTGTTATAAGTGGTGTTGTCCAGCCTGGGCCACAGGTCGGTGTACCAGAAGGCTGTTTTCTTTTCTTTGGGTCTTTTGCATTTCTTAGTAAAATTATATTATCCGGATACTGGTTTCGTCAGCATCATGAATCTGCTTCTGAATCAGAGTCAATGAATGAGAGAAACCTGTTGGAATCGGGCTTTGGAGCTTTGTCATTTGTTCTAGTAGTAAACCGGTTGGTTCAGTGGTTTTTATTTCTTTCTGTAGAGATTCTGTTACTGAACAGTCTCATTATGGCAGTGTAGAAGCTATCAGAAGACTCTGTCCTGATTTCTGCTATGTTCTTCTCTCTTAAAGCAGGGCAGAAAGGCCTCAGGTTTTACTATATCTGGTCTCCAAAGTGGCCCTAATTTGGAGTAGTCTTTTTACTTTTCACACTACTACCCTTCCTACTAGGGAGATTAAATTTGAACAGACGTGTTCTAAGAGAACCCCCCCCTCCAACACACACAAGGCAAAAAAGAAACTCCCCTTCCTTAAACTGCTTTTCTTTTAATCATGCGTGCTATCCCGGAGACAATCAATTTAGCTGTTTCTCAGCAAAGACCCCAGTGCTCATCTTTTGCAAAGGAAAAATGATGCCCTAAGTATCAGATCACAGTCGCTGTGCCAGGGGCAAGGCAGCAGAGTGTCTGCACCATCTGCGTTAAAATTGGGATTTCTTTTGTTACTGCTGGCACTGCCTGGGTGAGATGTGTTTCTGGAAGCAGATATTTAGGCAGCCTTAACTTTTTCAGTTTCAGGAATACACAGAAGATCCTGGGAAAGCCTGGGTAAGGGGAAATGACATTTGCTTGGGTTGGCCCATGTGTCAGGTGCTTGCAATGTGTGGTTGATTGGAGGTTTAACATCACACTCAGCCTTCTGAGTCTGAAGTCCATTGTAGATGATGTACAATGAAGCAATATTGCATTACCTCTCCAGAGCTGACAGTTTATTTTTTTTAAATAAACTTTTCTTTCTTTCTTTCTTTCTTTCTTTCTTTCTTTCTTTCTTTCTTTCTTTCTTTCTTTCTGTCTGTCTTTCTTTCTTTCTTAAATGAGGTGTATTCTCATTTTCTGGGAGTAAATACTAAAATGGGTCTCATCAAGAATCAAGATGTTTTAGTTTTGCTTAATGCAGTTGACCCCAAAATGACTAGATAGTCTTGGACTTAGAAAGAAACTATTTTGTCGACTCCTGTAATTTTACAGACGAGACCACGAAATCAGAAGAATTCAGGGACTTTTTTCAAGGAGAGACAGAGAGAGGTGCAGATCAGATTCTGAAATTCCAGGGTGCTGGTCCTTCCACTCCTGGACGATGGCTGTCTAAGAATCGTTTCCTGTTCAGTCGGTTTTCAGCACACTCTTTTTCTTCATCATTTTCCCAGTTTAGCTACTGTGTGATGAGAAGTGATTTAGGGAGCAGATCTTTCCACTCGGATCCAACAGAAAGAACAGGAAGTGCTCTGCTTTCTGAGGGCTGAGTGTGTGCTGGTTTCCTTCGTTAGGTTCCCACCAATGTTGAATCCTGAGTGGGTGAAGACAACATGGAAATGCACCACCTAGAGCCCAAGAAAGCATTCATTGAACCCCAAATATTTCCTTTAGGGGTTCCCAAGAGAAAAGAGAAAAGGGTTACCGAAAAGTGACTTATTTTCCTCCCCCAACCTCAAGAGCTGGCAGGTGAATCAACAGACGCTTGGGATTAGTGACATCAAGTCTGCTGATGGACATGAGCCATCTTCGGGCAAAGAGAATGAAATCGCGCCAGTCTTAGATTCCATTTCTTTTTCTAGGCCTTGGAATAATTGCAAGTTAAGCTCCGTGAATGACAATGTGATGTTAGTGTATACGTAAAAATGTATAAAAGTTAATGTATAGAAAAAATACAAGTTCCCCCCCCCCCCCCCGCTTCCATGTATTAGATTTCCTTCTCGGTCATGAATTGATGTGTACGTACTATTTCTTACTGGTGTGTCGTCAAAAGTTCTACCATCCCCCCTCCCTTGGTGGGACCTTCTAAGGCAGATAATGGCAGAGGTGACGCTCTTGTCTTGGCCAAGTGGCCTGCAGACTAGATATCTTTCAGCCCCACACTTCATCTCAGGGTAGCTTGGCTGTTAATTGTCTGGCAAAGCTGTGTTGGTAAATAAAAATATTTCTGTATTTATGTAAAAGGTAGTTCTACAGACACTGTTGAACTCAATTTTCACCTTTTTAGGTTAGTCCTATTTTAACATCGGAAGGTCGAGGAAAGCCGGGATTGGAGAAGTGCTCAGATGTCGCCACAGGCACAGCCCTCGCAGGCCAAGCCGGGATCGAGCCCAGGACTCAGGCTCCACGGCAAGCAGGTATGTAATTCCAGACAGGGAAGCTTCGCAGGCCTGAGATGCAAGAGGCAGTCACGCAAACAGGCAGTAAGTAGACATGTCATCCTGAATGAGGGGAGCGGGTAGAGGCTTGGGACTTCACCAGGAAGGAGTACCTTTAATGGGATGGTGAAAAAGAGCAAATGTTTGGTAAACAAATGTTTGTTTGCCCTGCCACTTGGAAACAACGAGGCACAGAGAGGAATTTTAGCAGACTTGGGCCAAACGCCTACATGTTTCCACACCTAGTTTATGTTATAATGCAGTTCTCTATGGCGATGGCTCTTTTCCTGGGGCAGGTCCTCTATCTAAATTCTTTTAGGCAGTTGGTCCAGGCAGGTCAGAATTTCTTCCAGAGTCTTTAGGGTCTTGGTTGTTTTCCACGTTTCATTTAAAATGGCTCTTGGAACACTGAAAAAAAACAATGGCTTTCCCACCTTGTCTGAGTTGATGTTTGATCTCTTGGTGGGGCATTGCTCAGGCAGCTCCATTGCATTAGATCAGTGTAGACACTGCTGTTAGCTTTCTAGATTGTTCATAAATTTTAAAAAAATCTCAGGCGTCTTTTAGCCAAGGCAACTGGGATGACAGCGTTCGGTACTCACCACGTAATGAGGAGGAATAGGATTATTCTGGTGGCCCGAATTGTTAGCCCAACTCTTCCCCCTAATGCCTTGTTCTGTGGTTGCCTAGAGATGAGAGTATGATTTAAAATCACCGGCTCTGCCACATGTTGTGTTAAATCAGGCAAGTGCGAGCCTCAGTTTGGTGAAAAAAGAGGAAGTTACTGTTGTTGAAAACCTCCTCCGGGCTTGGGAGCCAAAATATCACACCGAGGCTGAGTTTGGGTAAAAAGGAACTATAGCTTTCTTGCCTTACAGAGAAGGGAGGAGGGGAGGTTTGCAGAAGAGAGAAAAAAGATCTTTTCACAATTGAGCTTTGCTGAAGCATTAGCACAGCCATTTTGATTTTTGTTCGACTTTATGCTTTTGAGTGGTTTCAGTTTCTACTTGAGGATATTGGCATGAAACAAAATGAAATACTGCACGTACAACATCCAGCATAGCACTTGGCCCAATAGATACTAGCTCTTGCTATTAATGTTACTGAAGTTCTAAGGGTGAGATGGTGAAAAAATTTTGTGAAAAGCTGTCAAATAATTTTAAAA